GGGGGAATGCAATATGTAATTTCACTATAATAGTAATTAAAATGAAAGCCATAAACTAGTTTTTAGTAACTAGCATATGTAGTAAACACAAGCAGAAAACAGGGAAATATAAGTTGGAAATCACCTGTGATGATTACATCATGAATCCCATCCCCGTGGATAAAACTCATATACCTCCCTCCAGGCAGTTCCCTCCCCCTTCCATAAGAAGGCAAGGGGTCTATCAAGGGCCAATTCCATGTATCCTGTATGGTCAAGTATGGAGGAGAAAGTTAACAAGATGAAGACATTAATTAGAATTTATGGTCTTGTTTTATAACATTTATCCAGACAATCTCAAATAGTTGATTAGATCAAGCGCTTGATAAACTCAAGTGGCCAGCTGGAAAGATCTAACATTGAGCGTAAGTGCAATGAAATTACAAATGATCAGGACTGGCCTCAACTAAAGATTAGCTGGTGGAGAAATTTCTAAGACTTCTCATAATATATAAGCTCAATTAAAGTGATTTGTTAACAAAGATGTCTATTTACTCAGGTTATGATAATTCAGGGGAATCTGGCACAAAATGAAGTAGTTAAGTGAAACACCTCCGATGGCATAGAGTATGGAGTTTAACTTTTTAAAAAGAGAGGTTGAGAGGGTTTTGGTGTAATTGCCGATAACTAGTAGTTAAGATGGTCACTCCTCGTTAGTCCTAGAATGGAGACGCGTGATCAAACCCGCCTAAGGTCAGGGGACCTCACATGCACGGTGCACCCTGCTCTAATGCTCTGCCCCCACCTTTTCTTTTTTTGGCATTACAGGGTGATGATGGTGAAATTTAACCAAACAGAAAAGAGTACCAAGTAACACGGATGTGGAGTGAAAACATACAAAAAGAGTGCATTGCATCGAAGTGCTTAGTGCTTACCCGAGTAGCTCTAATGACGGCATCCCTAGCCAAGTACAGAGTCATGTGACTGGTCAGGTTAAAGCTCTCGGTAAGGTAAACGCCTGGAGGTATGTAGAGAAGCGTGCCGCCTCTCCTCCTGAGATGTTGAATCCGATATATCGCTGCCCGAAACGCTTGCGTATTCAACGTATTCCCATCACCGACACCTCCGAAGTCGGTAATAGAGATCTTATCGCTCCGGTATCTCATCGGTACAGTCCCGGAGCATGTTATCACGTCGCCGGCGGCGGACGTAGATTTCAGGAATGGCACAATGAACGAAAAGCATAGTAGGGAAAGGAGATATCGAAGCATTTTTTTCCCTCTTTTCCCTCACTTTTGTGTGGAGGGTGTGAGTGTGATTGGAACCTGCCTGACGGAAACTACGATCGTCTGAGAAAAGTTTTAATGACAGGAAACGAATGAAACAAAGGTTTCCTTTGTTAATGAAAATAAATTATTTACGATAGCAAGAGAGATCACTACGAATCTTATGAAAAATGAAGAGCGGCGCAGGACGGCAGGATAAGAAACTAAGAACTCAAGACTTATAAATGGAAGAAACAAACAGATGAAGTGAATAGCCCCTTTTTTCTATTTTTGGTAAGATACAGATTTGCAAAATAAGAAAGCTGAAAGCCACGGGAGTTGGAAACTGGAAAGCGAGATTATACTCAAGTTTACCGGCAGAAATCCCAAAGACAAAGCTCCAAAATGTAGTTATTTCTAGAAAGATTACTAAGGAGAAACCTCCAAAGTCCAAAGTGAACTTAAGGGACGGAAGATTTGTGGGAAATGCGAACAAGCTCCAAAAGAGATGTCGACTGAAGTGGACAAGTATGCATCGACAAACTTCTCGGTGATTTTGGTGGTCTGCAAGTGTAAACAAAGGGGGAAACCGAAAGGAGGTAAAGAAGCACTGAAAACGGAGGCGGAATCCTCCAAGAAGAAGGCGCCAAGCAAACGGGAAAAGTCGTTAACAACGGCGATCTATCTGCACAAATTAAAGCATTATGATTAAAAGAAAGGGCAAAAACTGAAGTAGGTGATATGGGAAATGCAGCTAATCTTTGATAATCTATAGTTGTTTCAAAGAGTAAAAAACAGTATATATTGCGAAATCAAAAGGAATTATATATAAAAAAAAAAGGTACCCGGAAACCTGCGATGTTTGAGCTGCGACGGAAAGCATCAAATGAATGAGAGATACAACTTAGGGAGCAGGGGGAGTTACAGTCTAAGCAGCGGCTTGTCCACAAGCAGTTGTCTCGATGCTTCAGAGAAAGAGAGAGAGAGAGAGAGTTAAGCAAGCGATAAAGCGAATTGTATACTTGAAAGGAGCAATCAGCTCGTGGTTGTGTCTCTCTATTAAGCCTCTTCACACTATACTCTGGTGGCCGACACGAGGTCTTCCTCGCCTTCTCGGTTCTTCAGTTCTTTCGTTTCATGACTCGTGAGACAAATATATAAAAAATAATAATAATATAAAGGGAAAAGTACCAATTAGCCCAGATCAGAATTTACTAAGCTCAAGTACAGGGGGAATGGATGTGGTTTATAGGGGGAGAGGGCTAGTTGTAGAGGGAGCTGGAATTCAGAATTCTGCATCGTATGTTTTCGTATTTTTCCCTAATATAAAATGAATAAAAAGCTATCGAGAACGGATGGGCCGGATCTCCTATTAATAAAAAACCGTCTCAATACGTTATTATATCGAATCGGGATTTGCTCCACACAAAAAGCACATTACGGGCTCACACCGACCTCACAGCCTTATTTCACCGTGTATTAGAAAGATTTTCCTAAAACAATAGAAAGTACGGAAGATATTCTCACGCATGCCTGGAAGGCGTTGTGAGATTAAGGACTGGACTCTTAGATATCATCTGCGTCCGCACGTCTACATGGTGACTTGGTGGAGGTGAGTTTCAGTCTCTTCTACCAAAGAATAAAAAAGTCCCCAGTCTAATGAATGACGATCCCCTCAATCCTCCCAAGTCCCAATATAACTGTCCCCACTCTATTATGTTGGAATGCTGGGACAATTTTTTGTTGGACTCGCCCCAACCAGCCAACCTCCTCTATGGCCTATGCTAGCTGGCTCAACAACATGTAAAGTCACAGTGAATGTGATGTAAATTGAGAGTTGACTATCTTGGATGGAAACATGCTTTATCATTTCAAACCCATCCTCAACCTCAAATTTATTTAAAAGGGAAATTCTCCATTAGCATTATATATATTTTATATTATTTTGTATGTATTTGCATTATATATATTTTATATTATTTTGTATGCATTTGCATTATATATATTATTTTGTATGCATTTGCATTATATATATTATTTTGTATGCATTTGCATTATATATATTTGCATTTGTATTTTTTTCTAAGACTCAGTTTGAAGGGTGTATAAATATAAAAATGTATAATATAAATATATTTAAAATAATACAAAATACAAGATTTTGCACTCTACATATTTGTACTTGTACTCTTTTCAAACTAAGCCTAAAGGAAAAAATCTCTATTAGCACCCTTTACTTTGTGCCTAAAGTCATTTTGGTCCCTTAATTTTAAAATGTAACAATTCAATATCTAAACTTTTAAAATGTGTCAATCAATTTATTAATTAGCCCTTAATTAACATTTGAAAAGACAAACACCCTTTGAGTGTGACTCTTGTTAGAGTTCCTCTTATTGTGATAGTTTGACTACCTCCTCTACCTTTTCATAGAGAGAGAATAACCAACTTAAAGTTTTTTATTTGAGTGCTTCATAAAAGATCCCGATAAGTGAAGTGGCTCATGTTTTACAAACTCCTCTTTGTTGGTCCTGAGGATGCCAACTTTGTAAGAGATTCATTCTATGTGGAGCCAATAGAGTATAAAGGACCGTCCATCCAAAGGTGTTTGAGGTTCGAGTCTCAAAATAAGAGACTAACAGAAACTCCTCTTTTTCGGTCTGAGTTTTCTCACTGAAGCTCAATCAAGGACTAACAAAAACCCTTGAAAAACAAACAAATCCATACTCAGTCATTCCACTTCTCACCAGTCTTTGAAGTGCACAGTAATTACATGGTAACTCTGTTGAAGTGCGAGTCAAAGTGAAGGTCTGCTGTGAGGATGCAGATTAATGTTATTATTTCATTTTGAAAATTTGAAGGAGAATAATGAGTAAAATAGTATTTTTCATTTTCTTGTTAACAGACGTTAATGATAAGGAGGATTTAGTCAATTGTCAAAAATAATAGGGGTACTTTAAGACAATACTGAAATAGTAGGAGTAGAGTTGGTCAATTTCCTAAACCTTAGGGGTAGTTTAAGAAATTTTCCCTTATCTTTATCAACCATCCAAAATATTGACAAAAAAATGAACGTCCCAAATCCTTGCATCTTCTATTCAGTGGGCATTGTAACCCCAACTTTTTTGAATAAAAGAGGCAAAGATTTGGGATTGTTAATTTTTTTGTCAATGTTTGAATGGTTGATAAAGAAACTTAGATGACACTTGAAGGGCATTTGTGTCTTTTCAAATGTCACTTAATGTCTGATTAATGAATTGATTAACAGCAAGTAATGGATTGGCACATTTTGAAAGTTCGGGCACTAAATTATTGCATTTTAAAGTTCAGGGACCATAATGACACTAAGCCCAAAGTACAGGGTACTAATCGAAAATTTTCCCACATTTAAACAAGACAAAAAAAAAAGTTCTTCCCAATATATCAATAATATCTGATATTGTTCCATAGAACGTGAGTTAGGCATTCCGTCCTAGTCAACACAGGGTGGCAAATTTGTAAGGCGTGACTAGATTTGAAAGATGTGATTGGGGTTTAGGGTCCATCATGTTAGTGTAAAAAAGAATGAGATTAGGATTAACTGGGTGCAGTGTGTGAGTGCACGAGGAAGATAAAGAGCAACTTTCTTACACGGTTACACCACCACCATTGAATTGTTTCTGTAATTCTGTTGCCCAAAATGTTGTATCATTCTTTGCATTCCGCGTTGGCTTTCTCCTACTACCACTTCTTATTCTCACCCACCCTGAACCCATCCATCAAAACTTACTCAAATGGATTGTCAACTCATGTACAAGCTGACAATTGTATGAATTGATTGGTGAATAATTCATCAAGAGAGTCCTCAATCAATGGGCATGTTCTTTCATGATTGGGCATCTTATTTTGTCGCTAACTATTTGTCTCCTTAACTATTTGTCTTCTTCTAGTTACACTTGAAGAAGGAAATGAAATGAGAAGTGAAACACCCTTCTTTCCTTTCAGAGACCGTATCAATATTTTAACTTTTTTCTTGCTTTAACAGCTTTATTATTGATTCCAATAAAAAGTTAAGCCACGGGCGCAGGGAGAGTGGAAGAGTGAATATTGAAGTACGAGGAATATGTAGTCGGTCGTGCCCCGGTGCCCGTGACAAAGCAGAACCATCCTTGTTTTTTAATTTGTTAGTGTATCTCCACTTGCTCACATGCATGTTCAGCAATTCTCCGAAGATTCCTCGTCCATGTTATCTATGTAAGCACTCTTCAGTCTTAGCACGTTATCAGAATATCAACAATTGATCATCTATTATCCATTGTACTAATTCAAAAGGCACCGATGGACAAAAATTATCCTTTTATATTTAAATTTATTAATAAAAATTATTTTAAAAAACACAAATAGTCTCAAGATTATTTTTGGAATTTTATGAAAATAAAATTTATCCCTTCATATTTAAATTTATTGATAAAAATAAGGGCAAATAGGGTGATTGGTTATTGATATTAAATGATTTATAAAGAGCTAAGTTTAAGATTTTCAATGCATTCAATTTCTTCTCATTAAATCCAACATTTAAGGTATTAACTTGCATTCACCTTCATGGAATCATATATTTAAAACATTTTTTGTCTTCTCATCATTAAATTTTATTAATTAAATCCATACATAATAAATTAGTACTTCCAATAACATAAAAACTTATACTTTTAAAATCTACCTAGAAAAAAAAATAGTGCTTTCATCTAGGCGGTGGTAAGAAATTAAACCATTTTGGGTCAAATGGGTTAACCCATTTTGCCACAATCAAATAATAAAATTCAAAAACAGATAAAATGCAAAAAATATAAAAATAAAAAAAAATGGGAATATTTATAACATCATATATTCAACATAGTAAACAATAATAAGTAAGATAATTAAGAAATATTTTTATTAATGGTGGAAATGAATGTAAAATTTAAAACGAATTGAAAGTAAAACTATTTTCCTATTTTTTCTCATTAAATCTCATATCTAAAGTATATTCTTTCATTAAATCCTATATTTAAGATATATTTTTCTCCTCATAAAATTACATTAATTAAACCCATAACATTAATTTTAGCAAAATTGTCTAAAACTCACCATGAGTTTTAAGCGTTTCTCTTAAACTCACCATAACTTTTCAAAATGTCTAAAACTCACCATGTCACTAACTTGACGTTAAACAGAMTAACGRGTGTTAATATATTACCATTTTAACCTTCATAGAAAAATATAAAATATATACAAAATAAATTAGCAGGTGTTAATATATTACCATTTTAATATTTAGACATGCAAAAAGGAAAAGTTAAAAAAAAAACATTTTCAAATATAAAATACATAAAAATATAAAAAAATTATAGAAATTACAAAATCAGAAAATAAAAATTGTAGAAAAAACACCAAAAATTATATAAAAACACGGAAATTGTAAATAAATAATAAAAATATAGGGAAATTTATATATTGTAGAAAATAGAAAAATGTAAAAAACAGAAATGATAAAAAACATTTGAAATTTTCTAAAAACACTAAAAATGCAAAAAAAATGAAAAATGAAAACTGAAAAAGACCATTTTTCCTCTAACTCACCATTCAAGGGTAATTTGGTCATCAAAATTGTTATTTATGCTAATATTGACACCTATGTTAAGAAGCATTAATGGTGCACTAACGGAAGATGAATTTGGAAAATAAAAACTTACCGACATGGTGAATTTTACACATTTTGAAAAGTTGTGGTAAGTTTAAGAGAAATGTTAAAAACATATGGTGAGTTTTAGACAATTTCCCTTAATTTTAATAAGCACAAATAGCCTCAATATTATTTCTTTACTTTTATGAGGACAAAATTTACCCTTTCATATTTAAATTTATTGATAAAAAATTAGGGCAAATAGGTAATCGATTATCGATATTAAATGATTTATAAAGAGGTAAGTTTAAGATATTCAATGCAATCAATTTCTTCTCATTAAATCAAACATTTAAGGTATTAACTTGCATTCACCTTCATGGATACATATATTTAAGATATTTTTTGTCTTCTCATCATTAAATTTTATTAATTAAATCCATACATAATAAATTAATACTTCCAATAACATAAAAACTTATACTTTTAAAATCTACCTAGAAAA